AAAAAAAAAAAAAAAAAAAACAAGAGAATGTTTTCAGAACCAGATCAAAAGCTGATTTTTATTTTATTTTATTACTAAGGCCTAAAAAACGTAACCCAAAAGTTGCACTTTAGTCTGAGAATATCTTATTATTGTGTTATTACTAAATATAAGCATGTTGTACCAGTGTTATAGACTATGATAACATTAAAATTAATCTTAATAAGAATAGCCAAAAAAGTTTTCATAATTTCCTGGTTAATTCTATTTTTAGTATCAACGCACGACTAAATCATTACCATAATGTTCAACCTCTGGGTGCTCCATTATAATTCAAGATCTAGTAGTAAAAGCTATGGGTGCGATGAGATCATGTTGAGATTGTGGAATCAAAGCGGTTGCAATCTGCAACCATCTCAGTACAAATGCAAGATGTTTGGGGGATTTCTACGCTTACACCGAATTTGGCTTTTTTTTGTCCAGATCCTCACAAAATATGCAAATTATCCATCAGCGTTACAAGATACAAGCCAAGCAGAGGCATCTAACTCTTAGCTGGAAACAATTAGGGTCAACCTGAACAGGTTAAAAATCATTCCCTCGTAAGGCCTCTATAGAAAGGCCAGTTAACTGAACATGAAATTTTTTAGTCTGTTACAGGATATAAGACAAACATGCATGGAGAGAGCTTGTAGAATGACCCCTGGCTATTTGACCATCCTTCCACTAAGGCAACAATGAAGGCCATGGATTTCACACCAAAACCATTACTGGGTACAGTAAAAAAAAAAAAAAAAAAAAAAGTTTTAATTACAATTCTATAGCAAATATTCAAACATCACATAAAAGACAAAAAATAAAATTAGAATAACCTAAAGTTATTTTGGGCTGGCTGTTGCCTCCAGCGAACAACTGGTCCTGCCAGCTGACTGACTCAACACCTGTGATACTCTACATTATGTTACAATGCTTTTACTCCACCCAGTCTGAAAGAAAGCTGCGTAGTCACTAATTACAAACCAATCGGTGCGGGTCTGCTGGATGAATTTAAATAAGAAAGGTCACGTTAACCAGGCATGGCAGACCTTAGTGGACTGATAACTAACATCTTCATGCATGTTTGAGGAGTTCTGGACCTCCATCTTCCAAAGTACATTCCAAGTCAGATACCAATCAAATAGCCACCCCTTATTCTCCTGGATTGCTTGAGTCTTAGATTATTTATGGTCTACCTATTTGCCCATTTGAATAATGATGAGTGTGCCTGGGTAATTTCTTTGGAATAAGTTCCAGGGTTGGATTGTAAATGCTTGGAAACTGAAACTGCTATCCTCCCGCTTTGTTCAGTGATTTTTTTTTTATATATCAAATAAGATGGCTTCCTTCTTCCTGTCACAGTGGAGAGGGTTGTTTGAAGGAAGATTCAAAAGCAGCCACTGAAGCTGTCATGATCTGGCCTGATTCCTCCGCCTTAATTGTTTATTCCTTTCATCTGTTTCCTTTGCTTTATATTGAGTTCAGTCTGAACATTTGGGGTCAGATCATTGTTTGCTTTCTGTTAGTGTCCTGTCTTTCAGTTTACTTAGTTTTAGTTATTTCTTGTCCGTATTCCAGTGAGGAGTTTATTCTTAAGCCAGTGTCCTCAGGCGAGATATTTCCCTAACCACTTGGTGAGAGCGTTTCAGCGTTTTCCCTAGTGTTTACCTGATTCCGTTCCCTCTCACCCACTGGCCCTGCCTGATATGTTCGCCTGAACCAAGGTTGGACTCCTCCTGGATTCTGCCTCCCAGGTGTGTTTCTGTCTGAGCTGGACAACACACGGAATTCTGAACCGGCCTTCGTGCTCTGATGGATTCCTGGAGCCCAGATCTGTCCATTCCTGAGTGAACTGTGCTGTTAAACCAGGTAAGTGACTCACTTAAATTATCATCTTCTGTTCAGATAATCGTGGTCACTTACCTGTTTCTCTTTACAGAATCAGTGATGGGTGGCGCTCCGCACCTGCAGTCGTTGCGGTTGCAGATCCAAAGCAGCGTACTGTTATGTTTTAATAAACGTCTTGAACGTTCCTACTGGCTGTCTCACCTTGAATACTGGGTCCATCTGTCCCATTCTCTGACAGATGCAGAAGTGGTTTCTTGAAGATTTCATACCAAAAAAGGTGACGGAAGCAAAAATACTGAAAAACAGGAATACTCACAACAAGGGGGCAAAGAAATGACAGCAAACCAGCAAAGAGTGACTGAACAGGAGGAGAATATATGGGAAACAAAGACCAGGCTAATTAGCAGATTGTAAGTAGGTGTGAACAGAGGGATGAACAGAGCCAGGGAAAAGAAGACTGACGCAAGAGGGCAAACAGGAAATATCTAAGAACTTAAATACAATCAGAAATACCTAGAACACAAAATGGAAATAAGACCAATGAAAACTCAGAGATAAAACTATAACAGAACCAAACCACGACACTTCCCCTCTTTCAAACCATCTGTCCTCTCTGTCCAAAATCTGAACATTTTGTTCTATAAACGTGTCCTTTTTTCTTAAGGTTCAACTGTTTGGCTGAATCTTATCCAGAGTGGATTTCCAATGCTGTGCCATGCGTTTGTGTAGGTTTTGTAGTTCCTCACTGCAATGCATCACATAAACAATGCCACTCAGCTTTGGTTTGGATCTGTCTTTGGGATTAAACCTTTTTTTTTTTTCCGGATTTGTGATGTTGAGTTAATAATTAATCGCTATGTCATGTTTAGAGATAATACTGTTTCTCAAACTATATGGGTTTTCATGTCAATCTGATTTCTCTTCTTTGTTTTTTTTTGGCCAACCTAACAAATTATGAGATAAGATGTCCTGATCTCATAATTATAAGATGAGGATCACATAATTACGGAAAAGTCATTTTGAAATCAGAATACCATAATTATGACATGTCATATTTTTTTTTAAATAAAATGTCATAATTACAAGGTAAAATCTCTTTGCTATGAAAAAATATGTCATGAGGTAAGATGTTAAACAGGATGAGAAACAGACAACGCTAATCTGCACTTGAGAACATCAATAAACAATGAGTTGGCTAATGGATTTACCTCTTAGGTCTGAGGCTCTGGGAAATCCTGAGTTTACTGCATGTGGATGGCATTAATATCAGTTTGTCATCATTGCACAGGTATTTTAAATCCTTGGGGTCTTTTAGGCAAAAAGCTCACAGTGATCTCCTGGAAGTTTTCTTCCTCCAGGAGCGAATTAACCAGCACAGATGCTTCATAGGTATTATAAACTAATGCATCTGAAATGCACTCAGGCTGGTTTTGGTGCTGTCTCAAAGAACTACACACTACACATGTGGATGCAATTCACCACCTCTGGCACAAGCAGTTCTAAACCACAGGGTGGCAGCAGTGATACTATTATGTGTAGTCTTCTACCATGATATATTAAAGCTGGCAATTTTACCAAAAACTGACACCAGAAATATTGCAAACATTACTCAAAGCAATATACTACAAATAAAGAGAACTAACACAGAATTCTTAGTCTTATACAAATTAGATTTTAGGTTTTAGAGTGGAGAGTTTGCCTCTGCAGACATCTAGGAGTCCTCTATATAATAATAACTGCTCAACCCATTTATTGTATATAATATGTAGAACCATAAATTAATTGAAACAGCACCAAAGTATTAATATGTACCCAGTTTTATTTGCAAGGTCTTCATTAAAAAATCTGGTCTGTCTTCATTAATTTTTTTTGGGAAAATATAGAGGTTGTGCATGTATATTTTCCTATTGGTTTATTGTTTTTTAATTAACGGTAAAAACATTTTGGTGCCAATTAGTTTTGGCCAACCCTCAGAGCACATTGGTTCCTGCCTGGACCCACTACTGACTCTAGATCCTGAGGCAGGCCTTGGATTCATCTAAGATGACATCATTACAGAAACCCAGAGCTTAATTTTTTACAGCATGTTGATTCATATTAAATGATAGCGCTGTTGATGGATGTTCACGTATAGTCATACAACTACATGCTTACTCCACAAGTAATAATCCCAGGATTATTGCTGGGTACTTCATGGATGAAGCGGAAAACAAGAGCTGAACTGAAACACGTATCAGGTCAGACCTGGGTACTGAGAACTGTTCAGTGGAGCAGATGTAGATATTTTTAATAGATGTGCCAGGTAGGAAGCTCCCTTTCACCAACTGAGATCTTCAAAAACAGCAGAATTAACCCCTGAAATGTGAAATAGATGATTTGATCTCTCAGTAAAAACGTATTTATAAAATTATTTATGTTTTTATTGGAGCAGAATAACATAACATAAAAGAAAAAAAACAGTGATTAAACCAACAAAAAAAGTCTCTACCCAGACATTCCCTCCTGGTAGGGAAGTCAGTCTGAAGAAAATCCCAGATTTGAATCATTTGAATTGTCTACGTCCTTCAAAGTGCTGTAATCTACATTATTTAGATTCTGGGTAA